TACAGTGTGAGCCACCAGGGAAAACCTGCTGAAGATGGAGTCCCCCCAAAAGGGTTTTGGGGGACATATTTCTCCATTAAAAAAGAAAACCCAAACCTTCAGACCACTAAGTGAAAGTGAAAGTCGCTGAGTCATGTCAGACTCTTTGTGACCTCATGGACTATAAAATCCATGGGATTCTTCAGGCCAGAATACTGGAGTGGGTAGTCTTTCCCTTCTCCAGGTGATGTTCCCAACCCAGGGATTGAACCCAGGTCTCCCACATTGCAGGCAGAGTCTTCACCAGCTGAACCACAAGGGAAGCCCAAGAATACTGGAGTGGGCAGCCTATCCCTTCTCCAGCGTAACTACCCAACCCAGGAATTGAGCCAGGGTCTCCTGCATTGCAGGTGGATTCTTTACCAACTGAGCTATCAGGGAAGCCCACTAATTTCTCTAGTGGTTTCTAAGACCATTAGAGAAAAAATAAATGTGAGACAGTTTGCTTACCAATAACAGAGTCAGCCAAATACATGCCCAGGTTTCATACAGTGTTTTTTAGTTTAGCTTTTTTTTTTTTTTAACAGCTGTAGTGAAGTTGCAGGGCTCTAGGAACCTACTGTATTTTTCACTTTCATTCTTACGGGGGATAAAGGTTGACAAGGATGGCAGACACGAAGCATTAAGTGATGACTCCTAAGCTTGATATTAGCAAGTGGAGGGCAAGACAATCCAGATTTACCCAATGCCTGTTATGTCCTGGGAACTCCATATACATAATTTGATCTAATCCTCACAACCCTGGTCAATCACACAAGTACTTCCTGAGTGTCTTCTGTCTGCTCTGTGCCTTACTCTGGGCCAGGTACAAGGGAAATAATGATTCTTTCCTTGTTGAATTGCCAGTCTAGGACAGCAGTTTTCAACCTGTCTTCTACCCTTACACTCATGAGAGATATAGCATATCACTGGTCCCATGGGCTCATTGTGTTCCGAAGTTCAGGATACACTCATGGCAGACTGGAAGTGGTGAGGGGTGAATGGGGTTTTGACATGCAGGCTGATGAAGCACCTTGAGTGATTCTGGTGTAGTCCCTTTCTATATGATAAAGACACAGATTCAGGGAAATGAAAAGACACTCAGTCTACAGTGTTTGGGTGCTGTGATGGGAAAGCACAGCTCTTTGAATGAGCTGGAGGAGCACAAACTGTGAAGCTGGGTGGAGCACAAGAGAACTTTCCGGAGGAAGTGACATACGCTGAGCAATGAAAGAGTAGTAGGAGCTTTCAGTCAGAAACATGGGCATGGGGATAAGATGTCTTGGGATGGCGGTATTCTCAGAACGGCCTCTGCTAAAGCTCAGAGAAATGACAAAAGAATTTGGCATCATTAGACAAACTGCACAAATTTCAGAATGGCTGAAGGGTGGTGTGCCAGCAAGGGGAGCAGCCAGAGTCCTAGGTCTGGGCTCAGTCTTGAGTGGCTTTGTGTCAGGCGTCATTCTTAGGGCAGTGGGACCCACTGAAGGGGACTTATGGAGGGGTATGGCCGCCTGGTAGAGGTGATTTTAGGGGTTGGTAGACAGAAGGCAGCTAATCCAGGGTAGGAGTTGGCCATTAATTAGGTGTATTGTTAAGGGAAAGAGGAATTAGCCAAGCTTTGGCTTGAATACCTGGGTGGGAATGTGCAGGGGTAGCGCCAACCTTTCATGGTAGGTGGCTGGGAGATAGATAAGGAGCAGCTCAGTTTGGAACATTTAAGTTGGTGGTGTTCAAGTGGGGCTGTCCTGAGTACAGACCTGGAGATCAGAAAGAGACCTGGCCAAGAGAGAAAGACTTCAAATGGAAACTGGGGTCATGCTTTGGGTAAAATCATCCAGGAGTGAGAAGAGTGAGCGGAGTGAGAAGAGACTTAGCCTCGGAGGGAACTTTGAGAACCACCAGAATGCAGAAGAGTAGAGGCCAAAGAAGGGGCAGCAGGGAGAATGTCAGCGGACGGCGAGCAGGTTACAGCCATTTTACAGATGAGGACACTGGGTCTCACATTCACAGCGGGACTAAGGCTTTCCAGCCGAGATGAGACAGAAACAGTCTTCAACCTCTATCAAAGTCCTGGCTTTCAAATCACTTGTTTCTATTAACAAAAACTGTAATTATATACAGAGGTATAACCTTCTTCCCCTTAACTTTTCCTCCTTTGAATTTCCCTTCTCAGACACTAATCACAATCTTCCAGTCTTTTTCCCTTCCCTGGCTCTCTCCCCCACCTAGATGACCATCATGGGGGATAAGGCCACTAACAGGAAAAGCAAGGACAGGACTCATCCAACCTTGAATGAGACTGTGGACTGATTCTCAACATGGCCCCACTCTTAATTTACAAGGTAACTCAGTTCTTTAGACCTGACATGATCCAATGACCTGAGCTAGAAATGAAGTGCGATATAAAGTTTAATCATTAAACGACTTTATAAGACACTGTTGCAAACAGGGAGCAATGAGAAAATTGGCTTAAACAATTTGGGTGTTCAGGAGCAGTCTTTCTTACTCCAGGAGATTAAACATGCAACCTGAGAGCCACCATGTTTAACCAGAACTAGGTTTATTGTAGTTGACTGACAGCAGGGATGAACGAAGGCTCTTGCTTGCCTTCTTGCTGTGAACTGAGGTGAGCCTGGAAGGTGCCCCGAACAAAGCCAGCTCCCTGCCCCCACAGACTGTGCAGGCTTTGGCGTCAGACTGCCTGGTTCCCATCCGCAGAAGAGGACACAGTGATTCTCAGAATCTGTTTCCTTATCTGCAAAATGCGGCTCACAGTACTCACCCCATCCAGTGCTTGTGAGAATTAAATGAGATAGCCTGCCAAAGCACTCAGGACCCAGCAGGAACAATCATCATTGGCTGCTGTCACCAACCTTTTTTGCGCTAAGCTCGGCTCACCGGTGGAGTGGGCCGGGAGCCCAGAACTGGTTACTGCGGTTACCTTGTAATGACCCTGAGCCAGGAATGAGGGAGCAGGTGAGGTTAGCGCCAAACTCCTCAATGTCTTCCAAGAGACAGAATGTACTAATGGACGCTATTCTCCTGCTGCCTGTCTGTCCTCAAGAGATTTCTAAGAAGCGGTGGCAAGGCCTCAGGAGCTAGGTCCCCGGCAGAGAGCAAGTTTCTGGTGACCACGTCCCTCAATATCAAGAAAACAAAATCCCTGATAAGGTGCGGAGAACCTGTCAGGTTCTACACAGGGCTGGAATCCTTGGTGACTCCCTGGGAACATCGCCCCCGCCCCCCAACCCCCTATCCCCTTCCACTGCCACCTGCTTTCCTCTGATGGACTTCAGCTCGCGCTAAACTAAGGACAGCAGGGGACAGTTGGTGCGCTTCCCCGGCCCCTCCCTCCTGGAATTCAGGACATCCAGCTAAGCGCGGGGCTATCTTTAAAAGGAATTAGTCGTGACTCCTACAGAGCCCGCTGGTGAGGGCAACGTGGGGCGGCCCAGGTCAGGAGTCCTCCGAGCGCCCCCAGCGCCCGCCCTCCGCCGGAGAGCCCGCAGCGCCCCGCCCGGGGCAGCACCCCGGGCTCGCAGAACCCCTCCGAGGAGAAACAACCAGTTCTGCAGATGCAGCCCTTGCAGTTTGGGTCTCTCCTCTCCTCTGACGTAATGTCAGTTTCCTGCTTTCGCACTGCAGTGTGCAGCTTGCTGGCCGGTAAATCTGAGGATCAATGGATTGAACGCCAAGATAATCACCGCCACTATCTTGCAGTTTATTTTCCACGAATACATTCCGCCCCCAAATTCCACGACTTTTGGCTTTTCAGGCGGTATTGTTCTCCCCTCCCCCCAGGAAGGCCGCCTCTACACACAGCCCAGCACCAGGAAACAGGCGTCGGTTTGTGGCTCAAATGTGGGGCCGGGGCGGGGTCGGTTCAAACCTTCTCGGCACCCCCACCCCCATCCCCACCCTCTGCTTTGAGATGCCAAATCCCTGGCTTTGTTTCCAGCGAAACTATGGTCGGAGCGGCAGCATTCCCCCCCGCCCCCCCTTCTCCAGAAACCGAGCTGGAAGTGGGTAAAAACTATTTACTACGGAACGTGCTAGGACGCTTCTCCACGCCCCACACCCCCACAGGGAAAGGACCGGCAGCGACCGCCCCGCCACCTCACTCGCGCCGGGCCAACTGCAGCTCCGCGGCCGCTGCCACCGCCCAGCCGAGCCGGGGGAGACTCCCAAGGGCTCTTTAAATACGATCTATAAATACTACGGGCGCTCGGCGCGCGCGTCATGGCAAAGCCGGCCTCCGATTGGCTGCCGTAACCCCTCTATTTGCATAGCCGGATTGCTCAACCGGGCGGCGACCTCGGCCGAGCGCGCCCCTCCCCCGCAGCGGGCGCGCGGGCCGCTCGGGGCCAGCGGGCGGGGACCGCTGGGTGGCGGCCGCGCGGCCCGGCGACGAGTGCGAAGCGGCGGTGGCGACGTCCAGAGTGACTTGAACTCCGGAACATTTGGAGTCTTGAGTCATGCGGCGGTCTTCCGGGAGGCCGGCCGCCTCCCAGAAGGATCAATTTTGCGCAGCCGAAGGCCGGCGCCTTTAGACCCGGTCATTTTGCTTTTCAAACACAGAAAGAAAAAGTTTGAAGGGTTTCATCCAAGCTGATGCGCTGGGTGGCTCGCAGAGGCACCACGTGAGACCTTGGACGCGCAGCCAGAGCCCTGTCCAATGACTTGCGCCTTGGGGTGTTCAAAAAAGGCTTTTTGCATCATCACTACTCAGACCTCGTTAGTTTGAAAACCAAACCAGGAGTGTTCTGGAAATGAAAGAGGTTTAAAGCTACGTTTGCAAAAAAGCACCTATTCATCGATAAGAAGCTAGGGGAAAAGATTTCTTTTGTAGCAACTGAAAATGTTTAGCTACTTGGCCCTGACCGGAGCTGGTTGGCTCTGGGTAGGCGGGTAGCGCGGGGAGGGTGGGGAAAGACCACGCTTTGGAATCCGGGAAGCAATCCGACGTTGCGGAGAATATTGGCTCTCGGGATTCAGTTGAGAAGCTGCTATTGATCGCGGGAGATAAATGTGGATAAATGTGCAGATATTGTTTTATATTAGTATTCAGATGTTATAAAAATCGTTTTATCTTCAGGATGTAACTTGAGAATAGGAACTGTGGCTGCCGATTGTTCCAAACATTCTAGGTAAAATCTACAACATAGTAAATTCCTTATTTTTGAATGTGATAAATACGATGACTTTAAGTTTCCTCATTTTGTTTTAAAATGTCCTGCACTTAAAGCGCAGAAAGCACATGGTAAGGGTCCAAGTCTTCCCGTAACAGTATCCGGGGAAGACGCTAGAAGTGTATGTTGGTGTCTTACACCGAGTCGGTCTTCAGAAAATATTAGTGGTGTGAATCAAATACGTTCATTAGAAGAAATAAGCATTGCTAAAAATCTAAGGTTTCATTCAATTATGTTTCATAAATGTCCTTTTCCCCTAAATAAAACTCAAAGTTCATAGGACTTTGTTATTCTACAACACTCTTTTAACTACTGTTACTTGGATGCAGCGAAGATTTATCTAAAAGCCTTTGAAAAAGAACTTCGGATTTTAACTGAAGAGCGCCCTCTGCTGCCAAACTGTTTATGGTCAACGCGCCTGGAAAGTGAAATGCTTGGGAGTATGCCCACCCTAAAACTGGCAAGGAGAACTTTGGGATATTTTTACGCCTTTGCAATTCATTTTGTAATTCTAGCCATTGTAATCATTTATGCTAAGCAAATAGGATCATTCAGTTGTGAATACTACCTTAAATTTCATTCTCATTTCCACAGTAATACATAGCAGTTTACGTTTTAAAACCAATACTAAAGCAGGAAGGAGATAGACTTGTTTTACAGTCAGTGTTCTCTGCATTGGGCTCCCCCGTGGCTCAGTGATAAAAGAATTTGCCTGCAATGCAGGACATGCTCAGGAGACCCGGGTATGATCTGTGGTTTGGGAAGATCCCACCTGGAGAAGGAAATGGCAATCCACTCCAGTATTCTTGCCTGGAGAATTCCATGGACAGAGGAACCTCGCAGGCTACAGTTCATGGGGTCACAAAGAGTCAGATACGACTGAGTGACTAAACAACAACAACAAAAATTCTCTGCATTATTAGCTACCAAAGTAAGAAAAAAAAATGCTTTAATCACTGGAATACTTTTTCCAGTAATTTTAGTGCTGTGTCATATGAATCATTAAAATTTGACTAATTTGAACACACACTAATTGCAACAACTTACATCAGCATTTTCCTTCTTAGCTTTTTTCCTCTCTGTCTTCACCAGTGTTTCTGGTGCCCCAGGCCAAGTAGAAACTTACTTATAACATCTGCCTTTTTGGTTGTTATCTCTTCACTATAAAGACTGTCATTTTATTGTAGTATTCATGTATTTATTGTACTTACACAGTATTCCCCCCCCTTCCTTTTTTAAATGTTAATGTTTCTTTTACTAATTCATTTATTTGTTATCCATATTAACGTGCTGAGATGAAAACAGTTTTTAAAAAGTCCCAAGTAGCTATGTAAATTGCAAACTGCACATCTTGACTGCTGTTTCCATTGGTTCTCATTTTTCAGAGCTGCTCATCTTAAGGAAGAAAGAGATACAGTCAGAGGTTAGCCACCAGTACAGCTTTGAATCACTAGGAGGTAAGAGGATAACTGGTAAACCACAAATGAAGAGATAAGAGAGGCATATATCTTCTGCTGTAAATGCTAATAAGGGCCTTTCAGCTGCATTCCTCACCATAAGCACTTTACCACTGTTTATAGAAACATACAGATAATGATCACGAATTAGCCTGTGGTTCTCGATTCTCTCTCAGTTTCAGAGTCAGAGATGGAAATAGAGTCCGTTATTATGCTGAGAAATGTATTTAGAAAAACGTACTGGGTGGTGGGGTGGTGGGCGGTGCTAAAGAGAGACTCTGTCCTTGTGTGAGCCCAAGGTGAGCAATGTAGCATGGTCAAGGAAGCCAAGTGCTCCATCTGCCCTGGGAACTGGCCTCCCTGTTCCCAGTTACTGGTGCAGGAACTGCATCTTTTTCAAATGGATGCTCACAGCTGCCATGGGAATATGCCTGGCAATTGTTTGTCTCCCCACCCCCCATTTATTTAGTTATAGTAACAAATTGTTCTATTTATATTGTACTATGCATGGGAGCAACTGGATACATAACAAAAAGCTTATGATTTGGCCCAGCTTCACTGCAGTTAGGTCAACACATCCCTGAGATCCTGGGGTGATTAATAAATTAATTAATTTGCAATAGACTGCAATGCTGGCTTGTCTGGTCCATTGACCAAGGGATGATCTCTAAACTGTATTACCAATGTCTTTACTTGACAAGGAGATTATATGAACCATAGCATGTGGATATGGGAGTATGTACACTTGCTGTAGCAGAAGTATGAAATACATACTTATTAAATTTGGGTTTTCTTTCTGTATTAACATCTGACTCATTTTATATATGCTGTCTATTGAGGAGCTCATAAATTTTGCTTACAATACTAAAGGAAACTATTTTGTTTTTGTAAAAATAAATTTATAACAAAATCTAGTTGATTTTTATCTTTTATAATTACTCCTTCACAGCTGTGCTTCCTCATTTAAACATACCTCCCTTTATAATTTTGCTCCATACATCAGATGGCCTAAAGAATATTATTACTAGAATTAGTATATATCAAGGACCAACCAAAGTCTCTTGACAAGGCTAGCACTATTGTTATTTGCATTTTATAAAGAAGATAATTGATCCAAGTTAGTGTCAGAGCTAGGAATCAAATCCAAGTCCATATGCCAAAACCCTCAGAGAATACTGCAAATATATAAAATTGAAAATGAAAGCCACAGACCTAATACTACTCACTTTCTGTGGTATCCTAGAGCAATACTTTCCAAATTATATATCAGGAAACGTTAGTTACATATGACAGATGTGAATGGCGTGAAGAAAGATTCCATGATCAAATATGTTTTGGAAATAATGGGTTAAACCAACACTTTGAAATTGTAAAACTGTACGTTAGTGAGAGCCATTCATGCTTGTAGTCATTGTGGATTTGTATAGTTATTACTGTGTTTTTTCCAGGAAATGGCAAAAACATGTCTTTCTACTTTTGCACAATGTGCCATTTGAACTCTCATTGGAGCCAGAGGTGGGAATAATATGAAACCCCTAACATGTGGATACTGTCCTTTTTTGTGCATTGTTAAAATCATCACTTCCTGGTGCTTTTTAAGTTGACAGATTATTTGTACAAGATGGATTAAAAAAAAAACAAACAACTAAATCTTTACAGGGTTCTAAATGCCTTACACTATTACTTGTTACACCTAAAATATATGTTTGGAAAGTTCAAAGATTTTCTTGCTAGTGAGAGACTTGCCAAACGCAGTTTAAGGACACTAGAATAAAGAAATGTAAAATTATTTTTAAAATAGGCTAAGAACAAGTAGTGGTTCAGGTAAAAATAGTTGAAATATGTGTGCCTGCACTAGTATGTATGCATAATATATATTCATTTGAACTCGTTGAGAGGAGAGGCTATGTTGTTTATCCTTGCCAAATACTTCGCCCACAGGAGGCATTTATGTGTCCAGTATTGACTGAGTACTTTGTTTGTACTCAGGCATAGTTCTGTTCCTGATGCTAGAGATATGAGTGAAAAAGTCCTCATCGAGCTTGTGATTTATTGGGCAGAAATAGACAATAAATGGAAAGAGGGATATGAAGCCACAAAGCGAATGACGGATACTGAAAACCTTGTAGGGTTAGTAGATAGGAATTCTCTGTGAGGTCAAAGCATTTTTGAGATGGGTACCAGAGTAAATACACTGGGAGGAAGGGAAGGGTATGAGGTCACTTTTTAGGAGGTAATGCAATGATTGGTAACAAGAGGAAGTTTTGACCTTAGGGTTGAGAGGGTTAAACAGTATAGTGTAGTGTTAGTTGCTCAGTTTTGTCCAACTCTTTGCAACCCCATGAGTCCATGTAGCCCACCAGGTTTCTCTGTCCATGGGATTCTCCAGGCAAGAATACTGGAGTGGGTCGCCATTTCCTTCTCCAGAGGATCTTCCAAACCCAGGGATCAAACCCAGGTCTTTTGTGTTGCAGGCAGATTCTTTACTACAGATTCTGAGCTACAGGGAAGTCCAAGAGGATTAAATGGAAGAAGATAAAAGGATTATTGGGGAGAAAAAGGTCAAAACTGAGAAGGCATGGTGTAGAATGGGATAGTGTGTAAGTGATGCAGTCACAGGGGATGGAGACAGAGTGAAGAGGAAGACAGTGAGCTCTGTGCTGCTCTGCTGCTGAGGAGCTGAGGTGGTGCTGTGAGGAGGGCAGGCACTGGTCAAGTTGGCTGGAATAACCTCATAAAGGTTGTAGAGTCTGAGGGGTAGAAAAGGTGAATTGGTTTGGAAATGGCAGTTTATATAAATTTAGGTCAAAGGTAAAAGGAGGTCAGAGGACCATGGGGAGAATTACCAGAAGCAGCCAGAGTTCATCTAGGCCAAGACTGTGGTGGAAATGAAACTATTCTCCTCAGATTGGGTCTTGAAACCATGTGCAAGGACTCAAACCCAGCCAAAACCTATGATCTTCCAGCTGAGATCACACACCTGGTTTCAGGACTTAATGAAGCTCCTTAAGTTCGTTGTGTCTTGGTGCAGAATGTTTTCAGTGAGAGGCAAAGTGATGGGGGCTATAGTCCATAGGATCCAGAGTCGAACACAACTGAAAAGACTTAGCAAACACACAGATATATTCATATAGGACACTTGTAAGAGATACAAGTGGGCAGGCAAGGGAGCTCTGATCCTAGGATTAAGTGGGGTACAATTTTTTAATCAAAGAAAAGTGGGGGAGGGGAAGACTGACTTCTTCAAGTAGAAGTCAGGCTTATATCACTAGCTCCTCCTATCAGGCAGGAGAATGTCTGACCCTATGAGATCAAACTAGGTTTATCATGGCACTTATTTAAATCAGTAGAAGGGTGATAACATTTTTCTTTCATTTAGTGGCTTGGGGCATATCTCCTGCTTTTATTCATGGCTTTAGAACCTTTTGATCCAAGTGAAATAGAAGAGTGAAAAAGCTGGCTTAAAACTCAACATTCAAAACACTAAGATCATGGCATCTAGTCCCATAACTTCATGGCAGATAATGGGGAAGAAATGAAAGAGTTCAGTTCAGTTTAGTTCAGTCGCTCAGTTGTGTCCGACTCTTTGGAACCCCATGAATCGCAGCACACCAGGCCTCCCTGTCTATCATCAACTCCTGGAGTTTACTCAAACTCATGTCCATTGAGTCGGTGATGCCATTCAACCATCTCATCCTCTGTTGTCCCCTTCTCCTTCTGCCCTCAATCCCTCCCAGCATCAGGGTCTGTTCCAATGAGTCAGCTCTTCACATGAGGTGGCCAAAGTACTGGAGTTTCAGCTTCAGCATCAGTCCTTCCAATGAACACCCAGGATTGATCTCCTTTAGGATGAACTGGTTGAGTCTCCTTGCAATCCAAGGGACTCTCAAGAGTCTTCTCAATGGAAAGAGTAACAGACTTTATTTTCTTGGCTTCCAATATCACTGCAGGTGGTGATTGCAGTCATGAAATTAAAAGACACTTGCTCCTTAGAAGAAAAGCTGAAACAAACCTAGACAGCATATTAAAAAGCAGAGACATCACTTTGCCAACAAAGGTCCATCTAGTCAAAGCTATGGTTTTTCCAGTAGTCACATATGGATGTGAGAGTTGGGCCATAAAGAAAGCTGAGCACTGAAGAATTGATGCTTTTAAACTGTGGAGCTGAAGAAGACTCCCTTGGACAGTAAGGATATCCAACCAGTCAATCCTAAAGGAAATCAACCCTGAATATTCATTGGAAGGATTGATGCTGAGGCTGAAGCTCCAATACTTTGGCCACCTGATGCAAAGAGCTAACTCATTGGAAAAGACCCTGATGCTGTGAAAGATTGAGGGCAGGAGGAGAAGGGGGCAACAGAGGATGAGATGGTTGGATGGCATCACCACTCAATGGATATGAGTTTGAGTAAGATCTGGGAAATAGTGAAGGACAGGGAGGCCTGGTGTGTTGCAGTCCATGGGATTGCAAAGAGTCAGACACAACTGAGCAACTGAACGATAACAACAGTTAAGCAAGTCTGCTTCATTCCACCATGTTCTGATAGGTTTCTTGAGTGACCATTAACTTACAGTGGTCTCCCAGTTCTTTATGTGTCCCTCTCTATCCATAATCCTCTTCTGGGACTTCTATAGCGACCTCTGTAACTCTTCTATTGTATTCCTATCAGAAACATAAGTTTGTTGAATGAATAAATATTGATTTTCATATAGACAGAATTATTTCAGTTGATTTTTAACTTAATTCACTTTTAAAGATAATTTTCAAGTAATGCAGTCTGACTCCCCTTGTTCATATTTTGATTTGTGTTTTAATATACTCTTGAGTCATACTGTTCATGAGGTTCTCAAGGCAAGAATACTGAAGTGGTTTGCGATTCCGTTCTCCAGTAGACCACTTTTTGCCAGAACTCTCTACCATGACCCATGTGTCTTGGGTGGCCCTACATGGCATGGCTCATAGTTTCATTGAGTTAGGCAAGGCTTTGGTCCACATGATC